TTTTTTCTAATTCTACATGATTTTAACCGTTGAAACTTTTACTTTTTACTCACCAACTTACCCGACATTATTAATTTATGAGGGATTCTACGATCTCGTTACGAAACCATTCTTTCATGATTTGTAACCGTTAGATCAAAATTGATTAAACAATTACAAATCCCGAAGAAATATTTTCGTAACGGGACTGTAGCATTTCCCTAATTTTTATAAGTTGGTTGATATATATGACAATACAATTCAATTTGTTCAAACTATAGGATTGGGTGAATTATTTTTTCACTAGTTTCAATGTCATTTTCTCATGTATGTAAACCATTAATTATTTTGTTAGGTGTAATTAAATTTGCCTGTCACATAAATTAGTCAATTTCTGCTGGGACTAATTAATTGGACAAGAGATTTTAATTCAGTGAAATTAATTAAGGGTCCCATGAATTTAATTACGCTCCTCTGTACGAAAGCCATTGATTATTATTTGAAAATGGCCTCATTTGGTTTATTAAATTTCAGGTTTAAATTGCATAATTTGTCTACTAATTTATGGGTTTTGTTAAAATTAATCTACAAATTAAATTGGTTCATTTACTAATTTATTTTCACAATTTTTAGGTCCAAATTTAATTAACATAACCTAATAATTAATTATGATAATTTTCTATTAATTAATAACATCGTCACGTTTATATACGAATCGTTCCTCCAGTAAATTAAATGAACTATAAAATTATTTAAAATAAAGTTGAATTACAGTTACCTAATTATTCAGCAGAACATTAATGGATATATATATATATATATATATATATATATATGTATGGTTGATTAAATAACAGTATTAATTACTCGTCACTGTTAAGAAATTTTCATTTTTCAGTTGCATGTGAATGTGCCAACATATATGTAATTAAAACCTAGGCCTACAATATTGACAATGATACAACATAATTACTATTACAGCCCCTAACTACCCCTTCGTCCACCAAGCCACCTCGGCCCCACCCGTCTCCTACTACGACTACATCGTGGTAGGAGGCGGCACGGCTGGGTGCCCCCTCGCCGCCACCCTCTCCCACCGCAACACCACCGTCCTCCTCCTCGAGCGTGGCGGATCCCCCTACGGCAACCCCAACATTACCAACCTCTCGGCCTTCGGTCAGGCCCTCTCCGACCTCTCCCCCTCGTCCCCCTCCCAACGCTTCATCTCCGAGGACGGCGTCATCAACTCGCGCGCGCGGGTCCTCGGTGGCGCCAGCTGCCTCAACGCGGGCTTCTACACACGGGCGGCGACAAAGTACGTGCGCGCGGTCGGGTGGGATGGCCGGCTCGTAAACGAGTCGTACAGGTGGGTGGAGCGTGTCGTGGCGTTCAAGCCGCCAATGCGGCAGTGGCAGTCGGCGGTGAGGGGCGGACTGCTCGAGGCCGGTGTCGGCCCGTACAACGGCTTCACGTACGACCACATCGTCGGGACGAAGGTAGGCGGGACCATATTCGACGGCGACGGGCACCGGCACACTGCGGCGGACCTCCTGCGGTACGCTGACCCGCGAGGGCTCACGGTGATGCTGCACGCTACGGTTCACAGAATACTGTTCAGAACCAAAGGTATGTACCAATTAAAATGAGAAAAAAAAAAAAAAAAAAAGCTTAACATTATTATTATTACTATTGCTTTTTGTTAATCAGGAAAAAGCAGGCCACTAGCTCATGGGGTGGTGTTCAGAGACGCATTAGGGAATAAGCACAGAGCATATTTAAGGCCTGGGTCCAAGAATGAGATCATAGTATCATCTGGGGCCATTGGGAGCCCACAACTGTTAATGCTGAGTGGAATAGGCCCAAAAGAGCACCTCAAGGCCCATAACATAACAGTTGTTCTGGACCAGCCTATGGTGGGCCAGGGCATGTCGGACAACCCGATGAATGCGATATTCGTCCCGTCGCCGATACCGGTGGAGGTTTCGTTGATTGAGGTGGTCGGAATCACCCGTGTTGGGAGCTATATCGAGGCCGCTAGCGGCGAGAACTTTGCTGGTGTCCCTACTCAAAGAGACTTTGGGATGTTCTCTCCTAAGGTATTATGCATGGCTTTCATTTAGGCTTTTGTGTCAATTTTTTGGTGTGTGTATCTAGTCTTAATTGACAAAGGCCCAAGTTGTTAAATGTTTGCTCTTGTTTGGGCCCTTTTGAAATTCCATTTTCATAAAAAGAAAAAAAAAAAAAATTAACATGGATGTTAGTCACTTAACTTTGTAACAAAATTGTATAAATCAAATACAACAAACACATTTCCCACAAATTGACTTTCTATATAGCTAACATATAGTTTGAGGTACAAATCAATGCAGATAGGCCAACTCTCAACTCTTCCCCCCAAACAAAGAACCCCAGAGGCCCTAGACAAGGCCATCAAGGACATGGAGGCCCTCGAGCCCGCCGCCTTCCGTGGCGGCTTCATCCTCGAGAAGATAATGGGGCCCATATCCACGGGCCACATGGAGCTCCGTACCCGCAACCCGAACGACAACCCGTCTGTCACCTTCAACTACTTCAACGACACGCGAGACCTCCAACGGTGTGTGGATGGACTCAAGCTAATCGAGTCCGTTATCGAGTCCAAGTCCTTCGCGCCTTTCCGCTACGACTACCTTTCGCTACCTCTCCTTCTCAACATGACGGCAAGCGCGCCAGTGAACTTGTTGCCGCGCCACGCGAACGCGTCCGTTTCGCTCGAGCAGTTCTGCCGGGACACGGTGATGACGATATGGCACTACCACGGGGGGTGCCACGTGGGCAGGGTGGTCGACCCCGAGTACAGGGTGCTCGGGGTCGATGCCCTAAGGGTCGTGGACGGGTCCACGTTTAATTATTCTCCGGGGACTAATCCTCAGGCGACCGTCATGATGCTCGGGAGGTAAAAGTGATAGTGATCGATCATGAATCCTTTTTGCAGCGTGTATTATACGCGTTTTTAGCTTTCGCTACAAGTCATGATGGATGGTTTATTATGCAGGTACATGGGGGTGAGAATTCTCAAGGAGAGGCTTGGAAGCTAGAGATTAATGACTTCTTTGCTATATATATATATTTTGAATCTTATAAGCGTCATGTGTTGGGTGTAAGGAGTCTTGCAGTATATATGCAGAGCTTCATCTATTATTGAAATAGAGTTAGTGATGCGTTTTTCTTAATGTGTAATCGACAAATTGCTATTTAAGTATTTTTAGTAGTCTCTATGCATTGGAAAATTCGATACTAAAACCCATGTGCAATATGTTTGTTATATGAAAGATTTAGTCGTCAGGTCACACATACATACTCGTGCAGATGTGTGTTGAACTGACGATTAAAGCACGAGTAGCAAATGGATAGAAGTTTTGCATAACTAAAGTAATTTATGGATTTGATTATAACCAGCGCCGGCTCTGTAATTTGAAGGGCCTATGGGCAAACAAGAAATATGGGCCCATTGAAGTAATATTCACATATATATATATAGTAT